ACACATGTCTGACAACTCCAGAACCCCAATGACATTTTCCTACTCCCTCCTATCCAGTTGCTTTAAGATGAAGATTCTCTTGGGCACTCCTTCCTGCTGCCAAGAACAGCTCACTTTGCTGTGATGGTCAACGCGTAAACTCATTAAGAGAGTTTACTCATCAGAGTGCACAACTCTCCAACTGGTACCAACATGTAACACCATTTAAAAGTCATCCACCAAAATGGTGAATGCATTCAACTAAAGGAAAATAAGGTCTGTACAATTGTGCTCTCCCTCTCATACATGTATCTAACTTTACCAATGTCAGTAGCCTTCACTATTTCATTGTTTTTTTACTAATTTTTTGCTGTAGTTCAGATTACATAGTGCCAAACAAAGCATGGTGAGGAGAAGATACAATCCACAGTTCTCTTGATATCATTGAGGTCACCTGGACGAACATAATACATCATCAGTGCAAAACACAATCTTCTCAGTGAATCAAAATCCACACTCAAGATTGGCTTCTAGAAAGGAAGAACAAGCAATCTGAAGACTGCATCAAATCCTCATATTATCTGGAAGTGGGAGCAAGGTAAAATTTTTCCTTTGTTTCTAAATGTAATAGAATTTATAGGGTAATAGCATAGCGAAAAAAATCAAAACACAAACAAAATGAAACAAAACAAAAAAACTCAAAAAAAAAACCCAAGCAAAAAACCCCAGACAGGCATGAATTTGATGGCAACAGACCACTGAAAAATACAAATATATTTCATATACTATTTTACATTCATCCTCCACTGTAAGTGATGATCAAAACAAAATACCAGTTAAGTAAGAACTGTATTTATGGAACACCCATAATTCTATTAGTCACCTGAATGATTCCAATAGACCACAGCTTTTAAAATATGGCTTTATCAGCACAGAAAGACATGTAATATCACTATAATGGATTATGGATACTTTGCTAAGTTATTACAGATCAAGTGAGATAGGTCAGTTTCTCCGCTGTTCCTAATCATATAACCAGCTGCACAAACTATTTGTGGCTATTTCACATCCACGGTCCACTAAACCCTTTAGCCATTGCTTCTCTTCCTCCTTCTTTGAAAAGAAACAGAACTGAAATACTCTGGGTGTTAACACTGAGTATATTAGAAACGTATCTGCAGCTGAAGCTGCAACAAAGATGAATAAAAGGGAAACTATTCACTGAAAGGCTAGAAGAAAAACATCATTATTTAAAAGTTACTATGTACAACACGCTGTTTATCAAGAGATAAAGAGATTAGACAGATTTATACTTTATACTCACTTCATACTGAGCCCTATAACATGTGATAAGCACCACCTGTAGGCCAAAAGGCACAACTGATAAAATAGATTAGATATTCTGAAACAAAGAACATTCTGTGTCTCGCAGTCACTAGTTCAAGGCAGAATACACCATACTAGGAAATTCAGAAACACAGATAAGACCTTGAATGTATTTTGCCACTATAAAAAGCTCAGTTCTTTCAAATTAAGTGGCTTTTCAGAATTAAAGTTGTTATAAATCCCATATGGAAGACCATTTTTATTAGAAGATCTTAAGAGCAAGTTTGGATCAGCAGTGAAGACTAAGGGAAGAGGCAAGCTTTGGAAAAACTGCCTCAACTAAGACTGCCTAGTGCTTCCTACTGTAACACCACCTCTTCAGTTCTTACAACTTTAGCAAGCCATAATTGTTCAGGCTAAAATTTTCCACACTGGACTTTTGTCAATTTTGAGAGACATTTTTTCGAGTACTTTTAGTCTCTTCCAAGAAAGAGGCTAGGGAAAAACACACTGCTCTTCACAGATTAATGAATTCCACTGGCCCTTCCAACAGCTTGAGCCCACTAACGCTTCAGAAGGGATGGGATACTGAGTACAAATCTTTGCCAACCTCAAATCCTTTGCCAACCTCGAACCCTTTGCCAACCTTTGCCTCCTTAATTTGGCCAAGATCAAGCCTTGGTACATACTGCTAATTTATGTATGCAGAAGAAATTTTAACAATGCATTGATCACCCCATCAAAGCACTATGCAGGAGACACGCAAGCCATGCATGGGGGACATAAATGACTACAGGCAGACTGAAAGATGCACAAATGAAAAGCCAACATGAAACAGAATCAGTAACTGCTACCTGGGCACAGGAGGAGGGAAAAAGGGTAGTAAAGGTTGGCTGGTAAAGAAGAGGTGGAAAACCAACCGCAGGAATTTTACCTTGGAGAAAATGCGGGGAGGGCAACAAGCCAAGTTTGTGCATTCCCCTCAAGGACTGGAATGAAACCCAAAATTGCTGTCTAGCAGACAAATGGTGAGACTCAATATCTGCAGAACTGTAAGTAATACAGTTTCCACATTTTCCTGTGGATCACAGAGAAGATAACTACATACTACCCTGCTAAAATAATACCTTTAATTCAGACTACAGAGATCTGTTGCACTGGAATTTATCCATCCTGATAAAGAACAGCATCTGTTATTTTTTCAACATATTTTAAAAAAAAACACCCTAGGAATTTACAAATATTAAAACAAGTTGAAGAAAAATCAAAGACTGCAAAACCAAGTGCTGGAAGTCTTTGCACTTTTAATTAGGCTTTTCTCTGCATGAATTTTATGAGGAGTTTTTGAAGACAGGAACACATAAAAAACTAAACGGAAAAATGTCATTGTTTGAATGTAACCGTCCATGTCTTGAAATTAACTCGATACTGTCTCTGGTCATCCTCTTTTAATGTCCTTGCCTGTACCTATGGAGTTCCAGCAGAGCAGGCATCCCACAAAGCTGGCATGAACTAGAGGAATATGGGGGAACAACAGGAATCTATGTTACAGATTACACTGTCATCACTCTTGTACCTTTACTAAACAAAGACTTTTATCCCTTTAAGTTCTATCATGATCCAAGTGTATCTTGTAGCCTTCTGACATCTCTTCACTGTCTTACTCCTTCACAGAGGTAAACCAGCCTCACTCCCAGTGCAATCAGAAAAGAACACGTCTGCAATATTTAGGAAACAAACCCACATATGACTAATATTCAGTCAGTCCTTACCTCATTTGGTGGAACGACAGCAAATGGTTGGATGACAGCCGCCAGTGGAATACAAGCCTGTCTGGCCATATCTGAAGACAATGGGAAGCAGTAGGTGGTACATCGGATGTAACGAGGGCTGGCATGGCCTAGAACACCCAACAGCATGCAGAATGAAAGGCTGTTAAAAGGAATTTGGCTGCCTCAAACATAAACCATAAGAATCAAAACCAAAACATAAAGAAACAAGTACATAAGTACACCTTTCTTTTTTTCCCATGCAAGCATCTACCCATCTCTCTGCTTTATGTATATGTCAGTCCGTTGCCCCACCCTGTGGGTAAATCTTTTCTTGCTGTTTGAGTTTAAAGCAGACATTTAAACATATCAAGAAAAAAATCCACAATTATTTGCAATAAGAATCTCCAAAGAGATTAGTTTGAAACAAATCATATGTAAGATCTTAAAAGAAAATAACAGGGGTGAAAACCCCAGTGGAAATGTCAGCACTGTATATAAACAAATGCTGCAGACTGATACCTACTGTTAAGACTGCTCTAATGAGCTAGCTCTGATTCAGAAAATAGGGTATCTGTGTTAACATCACTATGCTCATTTATCTTGCAAAATACCGTATGCTAAAATCACTATATCATTTATGCAGCACACTTAGCTCAGTTTCTTCTGTGAGAAACTGTGCTAGGCACAGAAAGGCAACATTTCAGAAATCGGCTTCCTTATGCTTCTTTTTTAACCATCAAGCTATAGCTCTGCTCAGTTTCTTGAAAGGAATTTATTTCTTTGTTCATCAAAACTGCATTATCCCATTCCCAGATAATGCCAAAAATATCTTGATGTGTTTGCATATTTTATACAGTTTATCTAAACACTGATAAATTAATGTTGGACTAAATGATATCATCAGTTTAATCTGTATTAAAATATCAAGTCTGCTGTCAGGAGCAGCACATGGAATATTGTACTTCCAGGCTCTAGGCAGAGACAAAGGCAGATACATTGGCCAAAGGAAAAAAAAAGTCAACTAGACAGCTTGTATGCTGAATAGAATTTTCCATAATTCACATCTTAAAAGGTAACAGTGCTAGCCTCATTGCTTATTCTAGTGTCCACCTTTTAAAATTTCAGAAGAATCCAGAAAGTATTTTCAACTGGAAGTTTAAAACCTTGAAAACTTCTAACTTAGACAATTTGTCTCAACTATTCATATTATTTTAAAGGTCCGGAAGGGCAGAGGAGTTGTTAACCCAAGGCATAAGAAACCAACTCCCACTTCCCCATCCCTGATCTCTTCCCCCACCTCTTTTTCTTTAAAGGGAGTTGCCCATTTCATGTCTGATTTAGACTAAGTAGCACTATTTTCAGATGACAAATTTGAGAATTTAGGTGGGTTTGTTTGGTTGGTTCTTTTTCTTCAAAATTAATTTGATTTCACCTAGATAGATTCCCAAATGAGTAACAAGGACAGTTACCTTGGTCATGGATTATGCAGTCTGTGGTGACAAGAGGAGGAACCTGTCCTCTTGTGTTTGTAGCATAGATCTGCCCTCCTCTAGAAGCCTTATCATTTTCAATTACTTGAATCTGATGAATAAGAAGCAAGGACAGTGTGAGTGGACAGTGCTACAAAGCAATCACAATTCAGGCTTCTGAGACACTTAACTAGAAAACTATACACACAGCTGAGCTGAGTTATATTTATAACTTACTTACAACTGCAGTTGCCTGTTGGAACTCAGGGATAAAAATATACATTGGGATGGATAAGACATACACAGTTAACAGATGAGTTATTTAGAGTAAGCATACTGAATGCTAGGACAAACCTTTTCAAGAGAGGCTGGCAACAAACTGAGGACAGTGATGGTGTAAATAAGTCTTTCTTACTGATTACAGCCTTCTATTTTCCCAGATCAAACTGAAGTGCAAAGTTGCTTGACCTTACTCAGATGCTACATATACCAGGTTATCTTTCGTATGACCATAGCTGTGCCAGCTGCTGCTCTCCATAAATGAATGCACAGGTAACTGATCAGATTGCAATGGTGGGAGGGGCTAGCCCTCATTCCTCCTGAGTAGGTTCCATGCACAGGGTGGTTAAGAAATAAACAATAATCTATATTGTAGATCACCCTCCTAGCTGAGCTGTATTTCAGGACTGTCATTTAGAAAGCAGCAATTTAAACCCCTGAAAAAAGCGTTGCTGGCCATCACGTAGTATTTCAACACTGGAGCTCAGGGGTTTCATTCTCTAGGTAAGACTACCTTGTTGTGAGCTTCCTCTTACAAAGTAAAGGAGAGCAATCACAGAAATTTTTATTAAAATGAGGCAGCTCTGATCATGTAGATATTTACTCTGGTTGAAGCCTACTTTATAGCAATATACAATGCCATGCCATGAAATGCTTATGAAGCTGGCTTTACTTCTGAACAAATTCCTCTCCTGTACACTTCTTCCCGTCCTTTCTGCACAGTCCTTAACCCTGTTTAAGTCTGATACTTTTCAGGATATAACTAAAGTTCAGTAAGGTTGCATTTTGTTACACACTGTAAACCAGATCACTGAGATGATACCGTTATTCTTCCTCTTCCCTCAAAGAAGCTGTCTTTTCAGAAATCTGGTTTAGAGTATAGCTGAACAGCTGTAAGAGGCAAGAGAAATGAGGCAATTTCTGAAACTGGCTTTGCCACTGCTGCTGGTTTCCCATGGAATTGTATCTTTACACTGTACATGAATTTCTAATAATAGGAAGTTCAGAAGCCTCTGTTGGAAAGCAAACAGAGAAGAAAAACAAAATTAGTTGCATCGAATCTATTGATCATTGTCAAAGAGGTATTTCCTAACACACTGGAAACAATTAGGGGTTTGTAATTTTTTTTTTTTTCCCCAATGAAGTTTTTGTATTGCAATTTAAATATACAATACATTCCTTACAGAGCTTGTTATATCTTCTGTTTGATTACTTTTCCCTGCCTTGTATACTTATTGCTAATTCTTGCATTAGAAGGAAAAACATTTTGAACTAAAAAGGTCCACTGGCTGAAGAAAGCAAACCATTTTCAGAATTAGCTCTGCAGCAGATCAATGTACCATGGTATTATGCAGTTAACTGACCTAAATACATCATTGTTCTTGGAAATAATTGTTGACAAAGCCAGTATGCTAGTTGTCATAGATGTTTTCAGAGCATGTATCAACCTCTAACATACATTAAAAAATATAAATCAACAATGGCTCAGATAAGAAGAAAATTTATCCGGCAACACTATTGTAATTACATAATGTAAATATAACAAGAGAAATATACATGGTTATATTAGTTACTCATTCTGAATTAGCTTTATGCCCTTTACAGACCTTGACCCAGATCATGTTTCTTTTAAACATGTCATTTTGATCCTCTCTGTTCTGCTTACATAAACCTTTTAACCTATTTTAACATTGCTGTCATAGTCAAGGCTGTTTATTATACATGCATAATTGAAACAAGACATCAGCCCATGCTTTCATGCCAGACTTCCTTCTTCCCCCCACCTTTTTTTTTTTGATTAGACAAGACTGTATTACCCTTCTTATGCAAAAAAATACCATACTGAAACAGCTAGGAATGACTGACCTGTTAATTACACAGACACTCACTTCAGCTTTTTCATACAATGGCTTTTAGTTACATTTAACTTGAAAATTACTTTTAACGAAGGCCATTGCAGTTGTCATATTAACCTCTAAGTGATTATCAACACGAACTTTCTCAACATTTTGGGGATTTTACATCAAAGCCATCACTGGATGAAACAAAAAATCTTTTCTAGAAGGACAAAAGAATACCACAATTTAAGGAAGCAGAGCTGCTCCCTATAGACAGTGTCAGGGATTTTACACAAATGCTTTTTCCTCATCTTTTTGGAACTTGTATTCTTTCCTGTACAGCAATGCTGCCTCAGCAAGAAGTGGAAGATTCCTTCACCCAGACTAGCTTACAGTGTGGTGGTTAATACATTTCTCTAAGCAGAAAGTTCTAGGTCAAAGCTGCAGGACACAGACTGCTTCAAGACTCCCAGCTGAGGACCTTTCTGACCAGTCTGGATGACTGGCAGAACTAGTGTGTGTGCGCATCAAAATGTGTTTTCCCCATGAGTTCAGTGCTTTCTATTTCAATCAGCTGTTCAGTGAAGTTTAGACTGCTTTATTTAAGATAGACAGACACAACCATAACCTTGTTTTCTCTAACACCATTCTAAGAGACACTGCCTCACCAGTATTTTCAGGTGTGCATCAACAGCTGGAGCCTCTTCAACCTATATGGAGCTTAAGCATTAAGTATATTTGAAGCTACTGAAATCTTTACAAGGCTGCAACAGCTAGAAGGATGCTAAGGCAAATGATTCTAGTTGCCTGGAAAACTCCCAAAATCAAAGAGTGAAGAGCCTTTTGAGCATGGAACTTCCCACCATTTCAGTTTTGAGTTCTTGTACCTCTATTCTGCACAAATCCTGCTTTACATATCTGTTACAAGTTTAAGGCTTCAGACTTTCCAGAGTGAAAGGGAAAGGTGAATAGTTGCAGTGAATGCAAGTAATCCTTCAGAACTGCTCATCTTAGTAGGTATTCATACTATGAATTTATTTGACAATTCCTATTAAATATGTCCCATGTTAGATAAAGTACAAAGGCTCTTCAGGACTAAAACTACCATTATGCACTAATTCATCCAAAACTGACAGCAAAGAGTACAAAACTGCATTATCATTAAGAACTTGCAAAAATTAGAACACATTTTGTGAACGAAGCCATGTAAGTGCAATTTTAGGTTCAAAAAAAACCCAAACAAAACAAAACACAAAAAAACACCCCAAAAACCTCAACCCCCCCCAAAAAACAACAAACAAAACCCCACCAACAAAAACAAATACAATATTAGTATTGTCATTCCTCTATCTTAAATGCAGCAGAAATCTACCTTCATAAAAACAACTGTGCCACCTTACTTACTGGGCTGGGAATAGAGTCAGGATCAAGCTTCTTCTGCTGTGGGCCTGAGAGCTGTGCTGGACCCCCAGAAAAAGCACCAGGAAAAGACAGCTGAGACCCTGCCATCTGAAGACCATAGTTTGCTGCAGAGTTACAAACAACAACTCATTTATCATAGAATCATAGAACAGTTAGGGTTGGAAAGGACCTTAAGATCATCCAGTTCCAACCCCCCTGCCATGGGCAGGGACACCACACACTAAACCACGTCACCCAAGGCTCTGTCCAACCTGGCCTTGAACACCACCAGGGATGCAGCATTCACAACTTCCCTGGGCAACCCATTCCAGTGACTCACCACCCTCACAGTAAAGAACTTCTTCCTTATATCTAACCTAAACTTCCCCTGTTTAAGTTTTAACCTGTTATCCCTTATCCCATCACTACAGTCCCTAATGAAGAGTTCCTCCCCAGCACCCTTGTAGGCCCCCTTCAGATACTGGAAGGCTGTTCTGAGGTCTTCACACAGCCTTCTCTTCTGCAGGCTGAACAGCCCCAACTTTCTCAGCCTGTCTTCATACAGGAGGTACTCCAGCCCCTGATCATCCCTGTGGCCTCCTCTGGACTTGCTCCAACAGTTCCATGTCCTTTTTATGTTGAGGACACCAGAACTGCACAAAATACTCCAAGTGAAGTCTTGTGAGAGCAGAGTAGAGGTGTAGGACCACCTCATTTGACCTGCTGGTTACGCTTCTTCTGATGCAGACCAGGTTACGGTTGGCTTTCTGGGCTGCGAGTGCACACTGCTGGATCATGTTAAGTTTCTCATCAACCAACACCCCCAAGTCCTAATCCACAGGGCTGCTCTGAATCTCTTCTCCACCCAACCTGTAGCTGTGCCTGGGATTGCCCCAACCCAGATGTTTAAGTTGCATTATCAATTTTTAATAACATATTTTGCTATACAGTTCATTCTCACTCAGCTAAATGCAACTTCTCCTTCCCTTGTGTTTTCAGCATGTAAAAGATAAGGATCACTTTAGCTCATATGTACAGTCTGTGTTTTAAAGGCAAGTGTAAGACTTCAGTTCCAATGTTTGCAGGTAGATGTCAAGTAAGATAGTTAGTAGAGATTATTACAGCTACTCAAAGCCGACCATTACATTAGTGAGAATCTCTCCCCTAACATCAGTCAATGCAAACTGGTGTAGTTAGCTGGCTTTTTAGTTGTCAACATAACTGTTTTCCCTATCTATGTTAGGTGAAATAACTGCATTCAGTTACAATTCTTAATTGCTGCAAGGCATTTTTCAAAGCTACTTATGACAGACCACTGTAAGAGAGCAACCTGTATCTTTACAAAGTATAAGAAAAACACCTTTGTTTAATATGTTATGCCTTTAACCAAAGAATTGTGTTCCTGGTCCAAATTCATCTCCTTTTCCTTGTTACAGTCTGAACAGGGTGCTAAACTTTTGGTTTAGCATGGTCTGCCTTGAATGTACTGACTGACAATTTCAATCTTTCCATACTACAATAAGGTTACTAAATTTTCATTTTTCCAATTCAGCAGAACATCAACCATGAACGGTTACAATTACACACTGCATGTATATTTTGTTTTCAATTACATAAGCATCCTTCCTTACATTGCTGAGGATGATATCCAGGTGCTGAAGACTGTGCTGAAAGCTGCTGCAAGTACGGACTGGGGGAGACAGGCCCAGGGATTCCACCTTGTCTGGCTATAGGAGGCACCAATGGTTGAGCACAAAGGCCATTAAGATTATTTGCTGGTGGAGGAACCTGTGATCCAGGTGGTAAAGCAACTTGCTGTTGGGCTGGTGAAGGTGATAGTTGTGGACCCTGAAAAGATGCTGGATGCCCAGAAGACATGAGAAGGCTTGGAGTAGTGCCAGGACCTGAACAAAAAACCATGTCAGCTGAGTCAGAACCAAAAACCTACCACCAACTCTATGTGGAAGGTGTTCTGTTTTTTCTTAGTACATTTACAACATCTAAGCAGTACTGTATCCCACACTGACAATGCTGCATTATGGGGATTCTGAATCCCTGTTCACATAACAAATCTGACCTCGTAATTGAACTTTGAACTGATTCAGACATTCAATTTTATTTCTTTTGGCTCTATTTTCAATAAAACCCTGCAGCTGGGGTGTATGGGGAAAGAGGAAGGAAGCCAGCCTCTGGCAATTCTTGATCAGAATACACATACATCACAATTTGCTTTTGAAATAATATTTAATTTCATAATTCAAAAGAACATTCTTTTTGCTTAATAAAATAATAAATTTCTCTTATGTGGCATGTTTTTATTAGTCTGCCACTTGCATTTCAACATGACATGTTTGATGGAAGATAAATCCATTCTTTTTATCTTGTTTACAACCATCTCTGGTTTTGATGCTAAAAATGAAACGTGGGAATTATTTTGTGCAACTGGTGAGGAACAGTTTGTTGGTTATAAGATCCAGATTCCAATTAGAATTGAGGACCCTGAAAGTACAGAGGGAGGGGATGTTTTGAGAGTTACAATCTATAAATACTTATTACTTTACGAAACCTACATGTTTTAGTCATATTTCCCCCTTAAAGCCTACAGAAACATAATTTTCAAGAAAGCTAAAACAATAACTAAAATTAGGCTTGGAGCAAAAGGACCAATGTATTAATATACAAATATTGAAATGCATCTCCCGTCAGACATGTTAACTGAAAAAAAAAAAAAAATTAATCACATGCAAAACAAGCTCAGGTACTTGCTGGTCCAGTAGCTTTACAAGCTGTGAGTTTCAGCACTCTGTCAAGTTAGACCAAGTCAGACTTACAGCTAAGGAAAAATCGGAAGAACAAAACCCAACACAGAAGCAAAGTTGTAAAGAATCTGTCTTCAGTGGTCTGAAGGGTATGTCAGCCTTCCATGATGAGCAAGAATGTTATACTTTATATAGTTATTGCTGAAGGCAATATAATGAAGGCAGGAAAAAAAAAAAGTGGTTTGCTCTAAATAATATGAATTGCCATATGTGAAGTGCTCTAGAGGTGGCGCACCACACTTCATCCTGTATAAAAAGGTTTGAGTTAATTGTGAAATGCAGTTCAGTACATCAAGGTGAATCAGAGTATAAAATAATCTAAGGTGAAGAACATCTAAGTTTTCACAAGCAATCATACAAACAGAAGGTCAAAACCACGGTAGTTATACAGGTTTCATTCTAGTCAAGTCACCAACTCATAAAGCCAGGGTAGGGACAGCAAACTTCTATCAGCGCAGCCTGCACTGAGAAGTTCACCTTCACACATATCCTACAAAGATATTGACCACCATAATTTCCACTCCTTTTAAATAAAATGGCAAATTTCATCAGGAAATACTCAGGAAAAGCAGGTATAACCAGTGTGTTAGTAGTGGGAAGTGATTTACATGGAAGAATCACATGATCCCATCTTTACCTCATGGCTTAGGTTTGAGATGTTTTAACCTCAAAATAAAGGCAAATAAACTTAGATTAAAAACTGAACTACACTGGGACAAAAAAAAGAATAAGATGATAGGAAAAAGTCAATCAAATCACATAAAACTGATTACCGTAGCTATTTATCTGCATACTGTTGAGCTTGTTAGCAAGTTGTGTTGTAGATGAAGTGGATGTAGTATTTGGGTAGGCTGGTTGTGACTGATGACTGTAGGGAGGATAAGAAAGTCTTGAGTTGCATGGAAGTGGAGGGCCTTGAAACCTAAGGGGAAAAATTACTGCAGTTATGCAAAAGATTAAATCAACCAATCATAGGGTGGTGCTGAAACAACTAATTAGGACAACCAAACCCTTAAGAGAGCTTGCTCACATTCTGCTCAGAACTTGTACTAAAATAGTCATGAAGCACACAGAATTGTACACTTGTTTAAAAAAAAAAAATGAGATGTACATGTTTATTTGCATACTTGTTAGAAACAAAGAAGAGCAAGCATGCTATGGCAAAGAGACAGTGGTAATTAACTACATGAAAGCTTGAAGATTAAGAAACACAAGCTTCTGAACATATCGTGCTATTCCATCCCTTTTCCATGCTTATAAAAGAGGACTCCCTACCAGGGAGGGGTAAGAAGATTAGGAGAAAAATCTGTGAAGAGAAGAAAATGAGGTGAGAAACTGTTTCCTCTAGTAGAAGAAAAAAGATGCAGGTAGGGAAAAATTGCTTCACAATTATCAGATATGGAAAAACATGAATGCAAGAAAAAGATTGAAGAAAAGAAAGTAGTAACTCACATGTGGCATATAAAAATATTTTATACCAGACTATATTGCTCTGGAAAAATAAGAACTGAGGCTATCTCCCAGGGGAAATCCACACTGATTTTCCTAGGAGTACTTCTAAAACTGAGGAGGGGCCTATCCATTTCAAGAGAATTCAAATTCACTTGAAATTTTGATGTGGAAATTTCCTGGCCTAAAACAGCAGCTTTCAGCAATTTGAGAATAAAACAAGATTAGGTGAAAAACAGTAGTGTGCTTATGTCAGGGCACTGACTGGAAGCTAGGAAAAAGAATCAGTATTTTGCTGGACTGGTCATGTCATTCTGACTCTGGCCACCTTGTCTTTTCATCTTCAGGACACCAACCACTTTTCCCCATGCATCAGTACGTTGTCTTCCACAACTGATCATCAGTCTCCTTGGGTCCTCCTTTACACACTGATAACAGAGAGCCAACAAACAGGATTTCCTATTTTGATAGCCAATAAAATACACATGGGTTTTTTGAACAGTAATAATTACACAACTAAAAAGCACAAAAGCAGATTAAGACTTCAACTAACTAAAATAAGAATGTTGTTAACCGGTGTCAAGTTCACTAAAACTAAAATTGCTGAAGGTACGCAAACTGTTTTTTCCACTCCTGGGAGGTGAGCAAAATAATTAATATTTGAGAGAATTAAATACAAGAGCTAAGCATATTTACCCACTTACAACTACCTGCAACATAACCACTGTGATATTGCTTTGAAGCAATGGGTCTAAGATCAAGAAAGAAGACTAAAAAAACCCAAACAATGCATGATAAAGAGCCTTCTGTCAAATGGAAGTTAATGAGATTACAGATCACACTGTAGGATCTGGCAGTTTAACACAAAGAACCAAACTAGAAGATCCAGTTTAGAACTGTAGTAAGTCAGAACTACTGAAGATTAAAGGGATGCCATACTTAAATGTCAGTGAAGCAGCCAAAGAGAGGTAACAGTAGTCAAATAGCTTAGATCTCATGTATTAATTCTTGAAAGTCACCTATGTGGCTGTTGCCCTGGTGTACTGGGCCCATTTTGAGAGTTGATCTGGCTGAATTGATGTATACCAGGTGGTGGAGGCCCAATAGAAGCTGAGGATCCAAAAGGCACAGTTGATTTTGGCACACCTGCAAAAGAAGACGTACTTTTACATATGAACCCTTTAAGAAAGCACAAGATAGCTAACAAATACAAGTGTAGGGCCCTGCTCTAACAATAACAATACCAGCTCTAGGTGGCACTGATTTAGCAGGGGTGTTGTTACAGATGACCTCCAGAGATCCCCTTCAACCTCACTGATTCTGTGTTAACAAATGACAGATTTCTGGTCAGCTAGAGAAGCAGATAAGAAAAAGACCATAGTAAAAAGGAAGCAAACAGTAGTTGGTAATTTTTCAGCAAAAGAACCCAAGAGGAACAGTAAGAAGCAAGAAAGAACAAACAGACCCTCCCATTCAATTTGGGATACAGGTAATTCACTGTCACTGTTATCTTTACAAATAGAATCAAGAGGTTCCTTTGATTTCAGAGACCTTGGTCAGAAAGAAAACTTGGAACAATCTTTACAAGGTGACTATGAAGAGACTATTACTTATGCAAACAGCAGTGCTGAATAAACATGCTTTTCAACCTGTACTTTTTTACATATTTTCCTTTAAATTAACATAAAAAATTGTTCGGTACCAAAAGTGGTATTTTTCCCAAGTATTCTAATAAGCCAATTACCACAAGCAGTTCTATCTTTTTACTATATTCAGCGTTGGATTAAGGCAGCACAACTCCTGCTGTCTTTAATAAGAAGCTTTAAAGAAACTGGATAAACCTCCTTTTTTCTGTTTTCATGAGAAAAAAAAATTGAGGATACCACAGAATATTTGAAAAACCTCAATGCACTTGGATACTTACTTGTGTCATTACACTACTCCACCATCTCAAATAAATTTTAATGTAACTTATTACTTGAATGTTATTAAAAATTTAACAAATACATGTTTTCAGATGCCTTAGAGAATATTTTGGACAACTTTGCTATTGTAAGTAATCTCCCCTGTGACATCAGGCAAAACATTGAGATGGTCCCTCTTCCTGCCTCCCTATATTGGTTATGTATATTAGTAGACTTAGAGGGAAGAGGAAACCTTACTTTTTTAGATATTTTATACAGCCCCAACTCACTAGTCTAGCATGCTTTACTGAAATTGGACAGCATATCTGACTGACAGCAACAAAGAACTGAATTCCATACTTTCAAATTATTATTTTTGTAAGCTTCCACCACCATATAGTCATATATTTCCTGAAAGATCTGAAGCCACATATTGCAAGTTGAAATTAGTGAAGAGCAAAGGAGAGACAAGGACAGCCAACAAGACAAGACAATGTATCTGTTGGATGTCAATAACATTATCTGTAGCATGATTACGCTGGTAGAAATAAAGCAAATATTTCCTTTGCTTGTAATTTGCTTGTACCCAGTGTGCTCTTCCTCACAGAAAGTAACTGTCTCCTAAATGGTTAGAAAGCAAATGGTCTCTACTTACCATGCATTATCCAAATACACCAGTCAGTAAGCAAGCTGAAGCAGGAGAACATCAGCTCACTCTCATAGGCAAGTTTGTGCTCAAGGATTAAGTAGGACAAAGGTCTCTTGTAAAGAATACAACCCATTTCTGAGAGCTTGCTTGCCATTAACACATATGAATCGAGAAACGTTTCTCTATTCCCAGAAATCACTTGTTTTGTATTTGTCTGTAGTCTGTATTACTCATAATAGAGGATTAAGTGTTGGTGCTTATTGCTTCCTGGTCAGCGAAATTCAGACATGAAGGCTGTGAACTTTACCATGCATCTTACATCAACATCTGGGCATTAACAACACCACAGATAAAGGTAGTGCAGGACCCTCTTGCAGCAGCAGCAGTGTAAAACTGAGCATTCTGTGTTCACACAAGTAAGAAAAAGAGATGCAAAATGCCTCTATAGAAAAGTAGACTCCGAAAACACACATAAGCCAAATTTATACCTGGTTGAGGTGCTGAGCAGGAGGAGTTAGAGTCCCCATAATGCCCATAATGAAGTGAAGAACTAGGTGGTCCAAAACCTGAAGAAAAGCCTCCTATTCCTGTCTGGGATTGGGAATATGGAGGAGCTGCAACATAACCCTGTTGACTCATGATCACAATATTCTCATTCCAAGTACTGGGTCCTCTTTAAAAACCTGCAAAAGAGAAAGTGACATCAGCTATTCCTCTTCAAGTGTTTTAAAAGGCTGCGAACTGTATTCACACACACAAAAAGACAAATACATCTGATGGGGGGGGGGGGGGAGGGACTTGGAAGTCAGAGGAAACTAGTGGTTTTGTTTGCTTACTTACTTGCTTGCTTGTTTAGCTTCCTCAGCACTACCACATACTGCATTAATTTAAACAAATCACTGAATTTATTTGAATGGTATTCACCACCCCCAGGCCCATGAGAGAAAAAACTGTAAGTAATAGTTGTGCAGGTGGAAAAAAAAGTAAAAGGAAAGTCTCAAACCATTCTTGGTTAACGAGGCAAATACTGGAAGAATAAAAATAATGTTTAAACAGAGAGGGTTCATGCTTCCAGCTGTTCTTTCTTCCTTCCTCCAGCCACATCAGAAAAGACGTGGCAGTGTGCACTTCAGTTGTCCCAAAAGACAGAAAGTCAGCACTAAATAACCTACAAAATTACAAAGATACAAATACATATTATACCCATATAACGGAAGAAATTTTCACTTTGGGGCATCTGTGACAGCTGACGCCTTTAGCTGCAACAGCATTCAGGGAAAATGACTTCTTCCACTGCTTACTCACACACGCACACACAAAAAAAAAAAAAAAAAATCTTGCCACGTCAAACTTCGCACAGACTGGATAAACACACAGAGGTTGTGATGACGAGACAGGAACTCCTACCATAAGCAAAATTATTTAAGTTATTCAACATAGTTCCAAATTCTATTTAACATTAAACATATTTAATCCCTTCTCAAGATATGTATATATACCAACACACAATAAAAACAGTTTGCAGGCAGCCGCCAAAATATCAATTGAAACTGATCACCTAGTGTTTTAGCTATCAGGTTCTAACAAAAGACCTACAGATTCACTCTGTAAACTGGGTAAGAAAGATAAAAGGATCTGCTAAACCCAGACCTTTCCCTGTTTTTTTTTTACTATAAGAGTCACACTACACAGAACGACATGTAAACCTTATCCTTCCTCTCTCTGTACACTAGTTTACCTTGCGCCCTACAGACTGAGAAACAACCGTAACACACACACTTCTCCACAATTTAATTTACCCCGTTATAGAATCGGTTGTCATCTTTTTGTGTCTCAGAGGATTACTATACCTATGTAATGTTCTACTGCACTGATATCTCTATGAAGATGAAAACTCCATTATACACATATATACAACAGAGTCAAAAACAGAGGATCACGCTCTTGGCCAACGTAAGGAGAACTATTAACTTCTTATTTCTTAAGAGAAATTGCGCCTGGTAGCGTATCATCAAAGAAGAGGTGCTGTCCCTCCCCAAGGCATGCTGCAATCTCGATTTGGCAGTCTTTGGGGTGCGTGCACCTACATACACACACACACATACATACAAAATGTAATATAGCTACACACATGACATTTCGTGTATCTTTTAATAACACATTCTGGCATAAGCTGTCAAGCCACATGCTTAAATTTACCCCAATTCAGTGCAAAACCTGCATTTAGCTAACATTCCCGTCCCCATTAACCAAGAATTTTCAGTCACTATAGCATCATAACAGGTCTCGCTACCTGGTCGGTCACACCACCCCGCTCCACGCAGAACACCTGTCCGCCGAGCCGGCTTTCAGGGGCAGTGTCCCACACACGCGGGCTCCCCGCTCTATTCAGGTAGGGTGCAGCTCCTCCACTTTCCTGCTGCTGATGCACGGACCACCCCCGCACCCCCTGAATGGCGTGCCCCCGATCGTCCCCGCGGCCACTCACCCCAGCGCTGCGCCGCCGGCACGGCCCGATCCCCCCCTCTGCACCCGGAGGAGCACACACGATGCGCGTCCCCTCAAGCTCTGGCGGCGGGCCCCGAGACCGGGGTGACTGTTAGGACTGTTACCTGAGAGCCACACGAAACTCCCCCGCACGACTCAGTTCGGGACACCAACCCGACTGCCACGTCTAAGCCTGTCCGCGCGCCACCGTCTCTTCCCACCCACCACCCACCCGCCCGCCCCGGTCCGGCGCACGCCCGGCCCCGCCGGCTGCGCCTGCGCACTGGCGGCAGCGATGCCGTGGTCGCAGGGCGGGCGGAGAGCTCGAAGAGCGGCGCGCACCCTGGACCGGATACCGCCACCGTGGTGCAGCCGCCGCATCCGCAACCTGGCGAGAAGCGCAAAAGACACGTTTGCCGCTGCTTGTGGCCGCGGCGGCGGCGGGCTCGGGAAAAAGCCCGCTGCGGGCTGCAGTGGCGTCCAAGGCAGGAAGACAAGGAGCAGCCTAATTACATCGGCTAGAAACCTAAACAGGCAGTACATGCAGCCTATAGCTGTTAACCATCAATTCTTTTTTCCTTCTACATTAGGGGTGAAATTCCTCTTTAAACATTGAAACGTCCTAAAAATATGATATTTTTTCTTCTATGTCCCTTAAAACCACATTTTTATCTGTGGCAATATATTTATATATATATGTAAAATTATGCCACCTGAATATCTACAGAAAAACGTGACACAGGTACATTACCTGTTTGCATGCCCTAGTTTCAGTTACTGTTCATGTACATTTAAAATACTACCTTGGTTACAAGACAGAGTCAATGTTTTCCTCAGTTACAAAGTAGAAATATAGGAGTAACATGCAAAAGATGTATTGGTGAGGCGACACTTCTGGTCAAAAACCAAATGTTCACTGTGGTATTAAAGAAAAAAACCCCACACAATAAAAAAATAAGTGGATTAGCAGAGGATTAGCAACAAGATAATAAGCTCAAAACCAGCTTCGTAACTCGTATTTTATAACTCAGATGGAATTTATGCTTCAGAGGCTCTCTTTGAGTATTTGTTATACACCTGAAATAAAGCTTTTGAAAGCAGTGAAGAGTTTTACATGGTGCTAAATCTCAGTAATGGCTACCTCAGACAAGACTGTCAAAAACATTCATTACTATGCAAAATAGTTCTGGAAGAAACCCAGTGCCTTTGAAGCATATGTCAAAATGAAGGGACACGGGCATTCTTTACATGAAAGACTCTCAAGAAGCCTCAGCAAGCAACATAACATGGGCAAGAACAAGTCTTGACCTATCTTCATCTTGCTATCCTGAGCTGGATTCATCACCAAATAATAAAAACTGGAGCCAATACTGTTGGATGTATCAGAGAAAATCTAAAACCTTTCAAATGTCTCAAAACTGTCCAATCAGAATGGAAAATGTAGTCCACAAGGTGATAAGCATCAGTTAAACTGGATGTAGTTTTTGCTGCAGAGTATCAGTGACTCTTCTTTCATAAGCAGGATTCAAAACAATGCCTTTCAGCATTGCTGTGCCATAGTTTCACCTGCTGTTCCTATCTCTTGCTGGTTACATGGACACGTACAATTATCTTAAGCTATGCAAAATTCTTTCGAAATACCATGCCACTGAGGAAAATAATGACTTTAAGTCTGGTCATTCCCTATGTTGTTGTGGAGACAGGCAGCTCACTGTCCCACCAGTCCTGTTGCGTCTGGCTCATAGCTATTAATGGTAAGCAGCTGTGGATAATTCAGCACTCAAGAACCATGCACTTACTTGGCTGCTGAATACTTACTATCAGATTTCTCTTCTCTGAAATCAGCTCTAGTGAAACTGAAAGAGGTCAACAAAAGATAGCAAGGAGATGCTATGGCATTCTCAATTCTTCCCATTTCAGGCCCACTCCAGAAATAGATCAAGATGCCTTTTTTTGAGGCTGCACCCTCGCTTCCATTGTCCTTCAGCCTGGAACACTGAGAAAAGACATCCATAATGTCATGGTCTGGCTCTTTTAAAGCTACAAGTAGTATTTATCTACAGTTTCCACATAAAACATTAAAAGTAATTTAAGGTTTTCAATTTCAGAAATGCAGAAACAGATTTAAGTGCATTCCTGGTCTTTAAAGTAATTTCATAAAAATGAGATTTCAGGGTTGCTAACCTGCTGTCACTTCATTTTAATTATATGATCTTAATTAAATTGTATAATAAAATTTGAGATTTAGACTGGTGTATTCTCTATCGCCATCATCAATAATCAAGATTTAGATTAAATTACCTCTAACAATCAGTTTATCCTGAAGTTGTACCTATGCAATGCTGCTCAAAACTAATGTAATTCCATGTATTTCAGACCTAATTTGGAGTTAGTATTGGTGAAGCAAATAGAAGACTTTGTCTACATCTATATGCTTTTTTTATGTACATTAAAAAAAATAGCAAATGCCCTGCCTCTAAAAATCTCACTTTGAAAGTTCTCACTAAAATTTATTCTATGAGTTCTGAAACAAAGAGAACGCATAGTCATCCATTAGCCTGGGAGATTGCTGGATACAGAACCAATACAGGCTCTGTAGAAGGCTAACTTAAATCTTCCAGGAGACCAATATATATACATTTTGTTATGATTATTATTTTAATCATTTGGGATTAATCTGTTCCCTGATGCTACTTCTGGGGTCTATAAAAGCCCCTCATGGACAAACTGTGCAGAACTCCAGGTCTCCATCTCATAGCACATTGCATTAAGACAACGTGTGATTCCAGGAACACTAAATCCAAACCTAACCTTTTCATTTAGAGAATTTCCTTAAAATACAGGCTTAGCACAAGCTAATGTGCAAATCAAAGAGTATTCAATGCTATTATTTGCCTAGGAGAGACTTTGGGTCTTGCAGAAAGGGCACTTGCCTGAAAGCCAAGGTCCTGATTTCTTGTGAAGTTGGTCCTTGCTAGTTAAACCCACTTTCTTTCCCTGAAATTCAGTAAGTCAGAAATTATTATAAATTTATCTGTTATAAAATGCTCCGTAGTCCACATGTGGCAACTTCTATGTAAGCTATGCATTAAAGAAGCGTATGTGCTTCAGAAAACTGTGGCTGCTTTCTTTAAAAAAAAGTCTTTCTGGCTAGTTCAAGTCTCTGTATTTTTGGTATCTGCAAACTGTGAGGCCCCTCCTCTTGCTCTCCCTGATTGTTGCTATTTTGGTTTTCTAATGAAATCAACTTTCTGGCAACTTGATCTGGAACATTTACAGGAGCTAAAGATGGTGCTCTGAGAAAACTGCTGTGATGTTTCATTTGGGGAATGCAATTATCTTTTATTAATTAATTTAGTACTGTCTAAGACTCATGAGAGTGGAAGATCGCACTACCAGTTCTTAAAGAAAAAACCCCCAAGACTTAATTAACTTGCTGTAACTGCTACATAACAAACTGTAACATAAAAAGAAAGACAAGAACTTACAATCTTATAAATAATGTATGATATATAAAGCACAGTGAATAAATACTAAGCCATCTGAGAAAGGACAGCAGGAAGTTATACAATCCTTTTCGTGTTTGCTTACTGAATGTATGAATAGATATATTTAACTTTTACATTCAAAAGCATCTGAAGTAGACTTACTTTCACTCTTCCATTTTATGTTTCCTGTTCACATATAAAATTTCTGACCTGTTAGTGGAGTCCTGCTATAGAAGAATATTCAAATAAGGTCACTATCATTAAAAAAAGAAGTATCTGTTTGAGTAAACTTTTCATAGCAAACTAGCTATTTGATTGATTTATTTGGTTTCTCATTGGAAGACATGGGATGAATTTACAGTGCATTTTTTCCATTTGTCCACTTACATAGTTCTATCTCAGCCAGTGCTAGTGATAATTCAACATACTGCAAGTACAGTCCTACTATACCTCAGTCATATTTGTTCCACATAATTGATTGTCTACTGCAACTCATATATGACTTCCTTTTTCTGATCAGTTGGTATCACAGGCAGGGTAAGTTGATTTCTAATTATTAGTACTGACAAATACTCCTAACTGTGGAATGAATCTATCACATAAGAAAAACAGCACTTCAAAATCACTCTGAAATTACTGAAATTACAAAAGATGCAAACACTGCCATGTTTATTCATACTCACATTCACTGTGTTTCTGCTTTACACCACCATTAATGAGGAAGTAAAATCTTCTACCTGATCAAGGGAAAATAACAGAGATCTTACATACCAATAAACCATCTGCCTCTTATAAAGCTACCAGCATTGATTACAAAAGTGTTTTTCAAAATACTGATTTTGTTCTATTTGGATATCCCTAGTATAAACTATTTGATGCCTTCCCATCATCAACAAAAATAACAGAATGCAATCAAAGAAAATAAAAATTAAATTTAAGAAAATCTATCACATTATTTGTATATGATAGATGCAACAAAGGAATAGGAGATGTAGCTGGCATGAAAATAAGAAAGGACAGGAGCAAAATTCTACATCACACTTGGTGTCACAGAGCACACATTAGTTTTGCTTTGTGAAGGCACAAAAAACACTTGTTCAGGATATGTAGACATCAGCAGTTGTCTGGAAATCTGGCAGATACATGACAACACCAGCTAAAAAGTAGATCATCACCAAAAGCCTGTACCAAAGACAGAAGGAGCTGAGAAGCCTGGAAACTGAATCCTGGCAAGAAGTCTGGAAACTGGCTCCAAGAAAAAATGTAGGATTTGCAGGGGTTAAATGTCAAGGTATTTTTCGAGGGTAGACTTTTGTCCCTATAGCCAGGAATGAAGATACCTGGGTTGCTTTTATATCTGTTGCAGTTATTTGCATGGGGGGTAAGATTTCATACAGGGAGGTCCTTTTGTTGTATCACCTTTGTTGTTACTGCTTCTCTGGTAAAAATCTATAAACACAACTATCCAAATGCAAAGAGCAAGCAATACTGTTTGTTAGCTTTTTGCAGACATAACTTGATGCCACAGCAACTCCTTATGCACTGTCATTTTGCTGTAGTTGAAACCACCAACATCACACTTGCTGGAGCACTCTGAAAATAAACTGAAAAACTTTCAGACTGAAAAAATACTTCGCTGT